GTAAACACGTGAGCACGCGACGTGGTCTATCTGAGGGTGATGTGCGCCGCGGAAGGGGACCAGGGACGCGGCTGGAGGTCTGCCCCCTGAACCAGGGTGGCCGGGAAAGGTGACCTCCCGGAGGTGACATTTGCGCCAAGGCTTCAAGGAGGAGGAGGAGGGAGCAGGCTGACGCCCGGAAAAGGAGGGTCCAGGTAGAGGCAAGGAGAGAAGAATCAGGCATATTTTACATAAAAACGCAGACTTCTGGCTGTCGTCACGGGCAATCCCGTGCTGGCCTTCTCGCAGGGCTGAAAGGAGAGCCCAGGACCCGCGGGACGGGCCTCCAGCTCTCCGAATGCATCCAGCCCAACACGGACGGCAAGTGTGTGCGTCTGCCTGCGGGCAGTTGGTGGCGGGGGGACCCGCAGGCTTCTCCCCCTGGGGCTGTCCCGTGCTGGAGGGCTGTCTGTCGTCACCTGGGGACACGGCCTCGCCCGTATCTCCGAGCTCCCCGGGGCTGCAGTGGCCCGCTCCTAACTGCTTCCAGCCCCTGACCCTCCTGGCAGGGGGTGCTTGGTGGACCCTCGGTGAGCACCTGAGGGGGAGGGGCTTAGCGCTGCTGGCTCACCCCGGCTTCTGAGAGGTCTGCCCAGGATGGGCAGCTGGACCACGATCCTGACTCGCTGGCCCAGAGACGGAAAGGCCTGGTCAGGACTCAGAGCCCTCGGACGTTAAAGAAGGGGTGGGCTGACACATCTCCGTGCTCGTTCCTCACTGCTCTCTGCCTCGGGGAGTCTCCTCATCTCCCTGGAGGTGCTGCGATACGTGCACAGGATACACAGGCTTTGGGGTCGGAACGTCTCGGCTGCAAATCCCACCTTTGTCTCCTACCAAGTGGCGCAACCTCTGCTCGTGTATCAGGCGTGACCGAGCGGAAGCTGCGTTCCGAGGGCCCGGTCTGGAACAGGCACTGCCCACACTGTGGGTGACGCCCTCTGCGTGTGGGCTACACACACCGGCACGACCAGGCCGAGAGTGAGGGTTCCACGTGGCGCACTTTCCGGGAGCTTCGCCCCTACCGCTGCCTCGCTCTCCCAGGAAAGGGCAGGCGATGCTAGCGTCCAGGCCGCTGCACGGCTGCGGCAGATACCTGCCTTGCGACTGGATCTCACTCGCCCGGAGCAGCCGACCTTCAGATGGGGGATGAAACCCAGGTGAAGCCTCAAGGGCTCTCTCGCTGTCCTCGAAGGATCCTTTCCATGTCAAAGCAAAGAGCCCCCTTCACGTCGGCTTCAGGGATTAGTTCCTGATTGGTGCCCCTTTCCCAGCGTCCATCTCGGCGCCAAACTTGCGTGTTAGTGACATTTTCTGCCTTTGCTCATCTTTACCGGCTAAGGAGATGCTCCAGTATCAATCCATTTCAAGGCTTTTAACGAAGAGCCATAAATATTTAAGCCTCTGCTTTGCCTATTTAGGAAAATGCCACCTAAGATAATTATTTTGCCTTTGCCTGACAGAAAGATTTACACAGAGGGCAGGATTATTTTCACCTCTGAGCAAATTCAGAAACTTGGAACCTAGGTGGTCTTTTCTCTACCCTGCAATGATTCCTTGGGTGAAATATGCCAAATTCCTGGACCCTTACGAAGAAAATGCTAGCAAAAGGCGAAACAACCTAAAGTTATTCCTGACGGAGCTCCCAAAGGAGCGCAGATTAGTTTTCATTGAAAGTCAACCGGCATCTAGGTGTAGATTTTGGTTCCTGTTTGCGTCACCTCCTCTAGACGGGAAGCACTTCCAGGGCAAGGCCCCGTGTGCTCTCTTTCTGTGTCCCCACAATGCCACGCTTGGTACAGCGAGTGTGCAGGATGCTCTCTGGACACACAAACTGCCCCGGGTTTGAGTGGCTCAGCATGGCGGGCAGTGCGAAGGTCTGCAGGCAGCCTGAGCCTGGGGAGGCAGCTGGATTCCAGCATTTTTTGCAAACGTGGCCCCAGGCTGTTACTGACTCTGCCTCGGACACTCATCTGAAAGACAGGCCTGCTGGCCTGTTCCTCCACCGGGTTTGTGATGAGAAGAAAGTACGGAAGGCGCCCAGCACACAGTGGACATTCGACAAATGGCAGGTGCTCCTTGACTGCTTGCACAGTGGGTATAAGGAGAGGAATGAAGGCTTACAGAACCTGAGGGTATCCAGAGCCAGAACATGTGATCCAGTGTGTGTCAAGAGGCCCAAAGCTGGTTTTCCATAAAGCCCTCTCGGACGGCCTGTTCCCGGCACCCCTCTCTCTGATACCACGTCCTCAGGTTCTTAGCATGACATGGGCAGCCCCACGCAGGTGCGATCTCCTAAAGGGCAAACAACTTCTCAGTTCAAAGGGTCTTTTCCAGGCCAACCCAGTCTCTGTTGGCCCAAAAAAGTGACCAGGAAGACGGCAATGGCCAGGGTCTTCTAGGACAGGCTTCTGGAAGACTGCAAGAGGCTCAGAATCTGATGTGGCAAGTGAGTCAGGTGAACGAAGGACCAACTTGCCTTGCGACCGACAAGGCACGTCCCCTTGAGATGGGGAGATGACCCTGGATTATCTGGGTGAGCCCCATGTAATCCCAAAGGTCCTTAGGAGAGGGAGGCTGGAGGGCCAGGGCTAGAAAAGAGAGGGAGAGAGATTACAAGATGCTACGCTTCTGGCACAGGAGATGTAAAAGACGCATGAGCCGAGGGCTGCAGACAAGCCCCAGAGGCTGGACCAGGCACAGATCCTCCCCAGAGCTGCTGGAGGCTGTGCCGCCCCACTGGCAGTTTGGCGCTAGCCCAGTGAGACTGCTCTGGGCTTCTGACCTCCAGAACCGTAAGATAATAAACTTGCACTGTTTTAATCCACTAAGCTGGCGGTTGTTACAGCAGCCATATGAAATTAGTACCGCGAGGAACCTTGGGAAAAAAAGGCAACAAACTTCAATTATTTGGACAATTTCATCTATGTGGAACGCTGTCACCCCTGGTGATGTCAGACGGCTGAGGTGTCGCTGAACACAGGAAGCTATCTGAGCAGCGGGGACCTGGTCTTGATGAAGTTCAAAAGCCACCTTTATTCCTCAAACTGCTGCCATGCCCTGTCACCAAGCTTTGACAGCAACTGGTGGGTGTTACACAGAGTGGGCACAGCTAATAATCACAGCCTGTTTAATACATGCCAGCCAGTAGAAGGCTTCAGAATAAATACTGCATCAGGAGGCTGTATTTTTTTCTGTACCATCTCTCTATCCTTCATGTTTGAAAAAGATTTAAGCTCATTATATGCATGGAGATACTAAGGTGTGAGTTGTTTGCAGGGAAAG